CCCACAGATCCCGCAGTCTCCGCTGCCCATTGGAATTCTGGGTTGAGATCCCAATGCCTGATGGGGCTAAAACATTGTCGCGGGTGGTTCTGGGTACATATCGTCAGGCCCCCGTTCCCTCCCTCCCTCCATGAAAGCAAGGGCAGACAATCGTTTCGCGCCTTTTTTCCTGAGTTACCTGTGCAGACGCCATACCACAGCAAGCATGGAGCCCGCTCAGGTAACCGTCACCCTATGTCTCCTGGGTGCTGGCAGACGTGGTACGGCTTTGCTACACAGTAGCAGCAACCCCTTGCCTTGTGGCAGCAGACGGTACAGTACGACTGGTAGCCGTCACCGTCATGTCCAAGGTGCTCCTGGCCACGTCGGCTGGGAGCACCTGGACAGACATGGGCGCAGGGACTTAATTTGGAGTGACTTGACCAGGTCATTCTCTTTAGTCCTGCAGTCAGTCCTATTGAACCGTCTTATGGTGAGCAGGCAGGCGATACGGATTGCTAGCAGTCGTACTGTACCATCTTCTGCCGGGCAGGCAAGAGATGAGGATGGCTAGCAGTCGTATTGTACCATCTTCTGCCAAGCAGCCATGAGATGTGGATGGCATGCAGTCCTTCTGCACCGTCTGCTGCCAGCCAAAGATGTAAAAGATAGATGAAGTGGATCAAAACAAGAAATAGACCAGATTTGTTCTGTATTCATTTGCTTCCCCCCCTCCCCCGTCTAGGGGACTCATTCTTCTAGGTCACACTGCAGTCACTACCAGAGAAGGTGCAGCGAGGTAAATCTAGCCATGTATCAATCAGAGGCCAGGCTAACCTTCTTGTTCCAATAAGAACAATAACTTAAGTGCACCATTTCTTATTGGAACCCTCCGTGAAGTCCTGCCTGAAATACTCCTTGATGTAAAGACACCCCCTTTGTTGATTTTAGCTCCCTGAAGCCAACCCTGTAAGCCGTGTCGTCAGTCGCCCCTCCCTCTGTCAGAGCAACGGCAGACAATCATTCCGCGCCTTTTTTCTGTGCGGACGCCATACCAAGGCAAGCATGGAGGCCGCTCAGCTCACTTTGGCAATTAGGAGCACATTAAACACCACACGCATTATCCAGCAGTATATGCACCACCAGAACCTGGCAAAGCGATACCGGGCGAGGAGGCGACATCAGCGCGGTCACGTGAGTGATCAGGACATGGACACAGATTTCTCTGAAAGCATGGGCCCTGCCAATGCATGCATCATGGTGCTAATGGGGCAGGTTCATGCTGTGGAACGCCGATTCTGGGCTCGGGAAACAAGCACAGACTGGTGGGACCGCACAGTGTTGCAGGTCTGGGATGATTCCCAGTGGCTGCGAAACTTTCGCATGCGTAAGGGCACTTTCATGGAACTTTGTGACTTGCTTTCCTCTGCCCTGAGGCGCATGAATACCAAGATGAGAGCAGCCCTCACAGTTGAGAAGCGAGTGGAGATAGCCCTGTAGAAGCTTGCAACGCCAGACAGCTACCGGTCAGTTGGGAATCAATTTGGAGTGGGCAAATCTACTGTGGGGGCTGCTGTGATGCAAGTAGCCCACGCAATCAAAGATCTGCTGATATCAAGGGTAGTGACCCTGGGAAATGTGCAGGTCATAGTGGATGGCTTTGCTGCAATGGGATTTCCTAACTGTGGTGGGGCCATAGACGGAACCCATATCCCTATCTTGGCACCGGAGCACCAAGCCGCCGAGTACATAAACCGCAAGGGGTACTTTTCGATAGTGCTGCAAGCTCTGGTGGATCACAAGGGACGTTTCACCAACATCAACGTGGGATGGCCGGGAAAGGTACATGACGCTCACATCTTCAGGAACTCTGGTCTGTTTCAAAAGCTGCAGGAAGGGACTTTATTCCCAGACCAGAAAATAACTGTTGGGGATGTTGAAATGCCTATATGTATCCTTGGGGACCTAGCCTACCCCTTAATGCCATGGCTCATGAAGCCGTACACAGGCAGCCTGGACAGTAGTCAGGAGCTGTTCAACTACAGGCTGAGCAAGTGCAGAATGGTGGTAGAATGTGCATTTGGACGTTTAAAGGCGCGCTGGCGCAGTTTACTGACTCGCTTAGACCTCAGCGAAACCAATATTTCCACTGTTATTACTGCTTGCTGTGTGCTCCACAATATCTGTGAGTAAGGGGGAGACGTTTATGGCGGGGTGGGAGGTTGAGGCAAATCGCCTGGCTGCTGGTTACGCAGGAGAGGTGGTGGAGGAGGGAAGGAAAATGCCACACAGCACTTTAAGCACAGCACTTTAAAAGTTTACAACTTTAAAATTTATTGAATGACAGCCTTCTTTTTTTTGGGCAATCCTCTGTGGTGGAGTGGCTGGTTGGCTGGAGGCCCCCCCACCAAGTTCTTGGGCGTCTGGGTGTGGAGGCTATGGAACTTGGGGAGGAGGGCGGTTGGTTACACAGGGGCTGTAGTGGCAGTCTGTGCTCCAGCTGCCTTTGCTGCAGCTCAACCATGCACTGGAGCATACTGGTTTGGTCCTCCAGCAGCCTCAGCATTGAATCCTGCCTCCTCTCATCATGCTGCCGCCACATTTGAGCTTCAGCCCTCTCTTCAGCCCGCCACTTACTCTCTTCAGCCCGCCACCTCTCCTCCCAGTCATTTTGTGCTTTTCTGCACTCTGACATTATTTGCCTCCACGCATTCGTCTGTGCTCTGTCAGTGTGGGAGGACAGCATGAGCTCGGAGAACATTTCATCGCGAGTGCGTTTTTTTTTCTTTCTAAGCTTCACTAGCCTCTGGGAAGGAGAAGATCCTGTGATCATTGAAACACATGCAGCTGGTGGAGAAAAAAAAAGGGACAGCGGTATTTAAAAAGACACATTTTATAAAACAGTGGCTACACTCTTTCAGGGTAAACCTTGCTGTTAACATTACATACATAGCACATGTGCTTTCGTTACAAGGTCGCATTTTGCCTCCCCCCACCGCGTGGCTACCCCCTCAACCTTCCCCCCTCCCTGTGGCTAACAGCGGGGAACATTTCTGTTTAGCCACAGGCAAACAGCCCAGCAGGAATGGGCTCCTCTGAGTGTCCCCTGAAGAAAAGCACTCTATTTCAACCAGGTGACCATGAATTATATCTCACTCTCCTGAGGATAACACAGAGAGATAAAGAACGGATGTTGTTTGAATGCCAGCAAACATACACTGCAATGCTTTGTTCTACAATGATTCCTGAGTACGTGTTACTGGCCTGGAGTGGTAAAGTGTCCTACCATGAAGGACGCAATAAGGCTGCCCTCCCCAGAAACCTTTTGCAAAGGCTTTAGGAGTACATCTAGGAGAACCGCGAATGCCAGGGCAAAGTAATCCTTTCACATGCTTGCTTTTAAACCATGTATAGTATTTTAAAAGGTACACTCACCAGAGGTCCCTTCTCCGCCTGCTGGGTCCAGGAGGCAGCCTTGGGTGGGTTCGGGGGGTACTGGCTCCAGGTCCAGGGTGAGAAACAGTTCCTGGCTGTCGGGAAAACCGGTTTCTCCGCTTGCTTGCTGTGAGCTATCTACAACTTCATCATCATCATCATCTTCTTTGTCCCCAAAACCTGCTTCGGTATTGCCTCCATCTCCATTGAAGGAGTCAAACAACACGGCTGGGGTAGTGGTGGCTGAACCCCCTAAAATGGCATGCAGCTCATCATAGAAGCGGCATGTTTGGGGCTCTGACCCGGAGCGGCCGTTTCGCCTCTCTGGTTTTCTGGTAGGTTTGCCTCAGCTCCTTCATGCGGCACTGCATGCGGCACTGCTTTGGGTCCCTGTTATGGCCTCTGTCCTTCATGCCCTAGGAGATTTTGACAAAGATTTTGGCATTTTGAAAACTGGAACGGAGTTCTGATAGCACGGATTCCTCTCCCCAAACAGCGATCAGATCCCGTACCTCCCGTTCGGTCCATGCTGGAGCTCTTTTGCGATTCTGGGACTCCATCATGGTCACCTGTGCTGATGAGCTCTGCATGGTCACCTGTAGCTTGCCACGCTGGCCAAACAGGAAATGAGATTCAAAAGTTCGCGGTTCTTTTCCTGTCTACCTGGCCAGTGCATCTGAGTTGAGAGTGCTGTCCAGAGCGGTCACAATGGAGCACTCTGGGATAGCTCCCGGAGGCCAATACCGTCGAATTGTGTCCACAGTACCCCAAATTCGAGCTGGCAAGGCCTATTTAAGCGCTAATCCACTTGTCAGGGGTGGAGTAAGGAAATCGATTTTAAGAGCCCTTTAAGTCGAAATAAAGTGCTTCATCATGTGGACGGGTGCAGGTTTACATCGATTTAATGCTGTTAAATTCGACCTAAAGTCCCAGTGTAGACCAGGGCCTAGGCTCTAAAGTTGTACATTGTTCTATTTTTGAATGCAGGGTATTTTTTGTACATAATTCTACATTTGTAAATTCAACTTTCATGATAAAGAGATTGCACTACAGTACTTGTATTAGGTGAATTGAAAAATACTATTTTGTTTTACAGTGCAAATATTTGTAATAAAAAATATAGTGAGCACTGTACACTTTATATTGTGTTGTAATTGAAATCAGTATATATGAAAATGTAGAAAACATCCAAAAATATTTAAATAAATGGTATTCTATTATTAACAGTATGATTAATCACAATTAATTTTTTTAATCGCTTGACAGCCCTAATGACTACCAAAATCTTTCTAAACAAGTAGTTGAGTCATATGAAAGGATAATCTTGTTCTGTAACTGTGACCAAAAACACTCCTGTATTCACACCTTACATACTATTGTAATAGATTTTTGTACAAAACATCTTTTGTGAGGTATCATCTGGAAACGAGTAACTTTCTGGCCAAAAATATCATGGTGAAACGTATGTAGTGTCATCAGATGTTTGGCTGCATGCATGTGTTCTCTCTGAGTACTGCACTGGCTCTGGCCAGATACCCAGTTTAGCAGGCTTCAATCGAACTGCCCAATAAGACCACAAGACTTGGTTTAGCAGCGAAGGCGCCCAGCCAGGTTTATTGTCGATGAAGCACAGGAATAGCACCTGGCAGACTCTACAAGGATACTAGCACATGTATGCTCGTGACAATGGATGCAGCTCAGTCAGTGGCAGGACTTTCCACTGCTCCCTAGGCTGGCCAAAGACACTCCCTCTGAGATACCTCTTACACACCAATGCAAAAAATTACGTATTGACCCTGATGTACCAGGGTGCCACCAATTACCTTGTATGTGTTGGTTTGATCCAAACATCTCTATCCATCATACTGTCATCCTGACCTTATCTTCAGGATGGGTCAGTGTGTTTCTGTTATCGTTGGGGAATGTGCTGGCATCAAGGTGTTCTGGTACCACCTTTCTGGAATGTGTTTGCATCTATATGCTTATGCCTAGCACTACTTAGGAATATGTGTTTCTGCAATATCAGCCCTGTTCTTGCCAGATTCTGTGATCTGGGCCTACCTTTTGCTCACAACTTAACTTTGCTTTATATTAGCAAGTTATGACCATTACTTTATCCCAGGCCTCTGATACAAGGCCTTATGTTTCAGGCCATCTTCTTACTACATGTAGCAACATTATATGTAAAGTTATAAATGCCCCCTGTATGATATTGTCAGCACATATTCAAACCCACCCAGCCCTGCCTTGGCAAAAGTTGTTCAACTGGTTTATCCTACACAACAAAATGTGTGTTTCCCTCAATGTACATGTAAGTAGTAAACAGGATCCTTGAGACAGCAAGACGGGAAATGGCAGGAGATAAGGCAAATCTGCATTTCAGCATACACAGGGAAGAAGAAAGAGCAAGGAACCACCTTCACCACCCAACTCCATGTTACCTTCTTTACTGTTTGAATAAACTTTGCTTTAAGGGGTAATCTTTAGAAGAATCCATTGCAAAGGGTGACTCAACTATAAAAGTGAGAGGCAAAAACACCCCCAACAGATCTCTCCCTGCCTCTGTGTCTCTTTCACCTAAGAGAGACACAGTAACAGAGACACAGTAACCACCTCTGACTCTGAGGGGAAACCCTGAAGAGAGAATATGGTCATCTGTGTTGCTGAGAACCTGCGGTAAGGATTTTACCTTGAACCAAGTCTAGCTTATTAAGTTTTAGCTACTAGAAAGCATTTTGTCTTTATTTCTCTTGTAACCATTCCTGACTTTAATACCTAACACTTGTACTCACTTAAAACCTATTTTAAGATTAAAAAATGAAATAAGTTTATCTAACTACAAACTAATCCAGTGTTGTGTTTAAACTGAACGGTTTGGTAACTCCAGGAGAATAGCAAACAGCTGAATTTTGACCCCTTACAGCTGCAAAGGACCTCTAATATCTGAACAGTCCAACATTTGGGAGCGTGTCGGGGCCATCCTGAAAGTAGTAACCAAGGTTGCTGGAAGTCAGTGTGGCGCTAGTATGCTGTTGAGAGGCTACTGGGGTCAGAGTTGCTGGACCAAGCGTATAGCTATATGTGGACACTCAGTGTGACCTGGATGCTGGCAGGCTGTTTGGGGGTGGCCCAGACTGGGAGCTACAACAGTAAAGCACTGAGGCACACAAGGTTGCAGGGCAAGCAGGGACAAGCCCTCAGTTCTGAAATGCACCCCAGAATGTGACAGTATCATGCTACATAGGGGCTTCTGGTCTGAAGGTTCCCATTTCTAAATATGTAACTAAAAGTTAAATATTTCTAGTTCTCAGAGCAAATGTGGCAATAGCAGTAAACACTCCGCATACAAACAAATTAACTTGCTTGAAGCCCTGATAGCTAAAATAGTCATACTAAAAATACATTAAAATTTAGAGTGCGCACACAAACCTCCATCATCTAGAGGCTTGGCAGCTCCCTGATCCCAATTTATTCAGAGACCTGTGTCTTGAAATTAGCTTTACGCCTAGTTATTGTTTGAACAATCACTCATACGATAACAAGGCATACCTGTACTTAGTTCCTTTTGTATACAGTATCCCAAACTACTTTATTCAAAAGAGCCTCAAGTCATCCTTGAAAAATATTATATTACATTATGAATATTTTTCCATCAGAGGAAGCGAGATCGTATCTTCATAAACAAGAAGTAAACCTGCTAAAATATTTAGCAACACGGAGATCCTTGGATTTTCATTTATAACTGATGATCAATAGCAAACATCTATTGCAGCTTGATCTATAATCACAGAGGAGTTACAATAGTGTCTTCTCCCCTCCCTCCATGTCTCACTAGCCTTCCCTCCCCAATTCAGTTATCCACTTTTGCTTATATTTCTTGCCTTGGTTTATTCACTTTCCTCTATTTCTCCATTTAAAATGTTTTCCTGTTCCTTCTTCTAAGGAAAATACAGCATCCTCCTTACTCTTAGACCCACACTCACATGCTACATCTTCCTCTCATTAGCAATAGTCTTCCATTTCGCACCTCTCTCCATAGCCTGTGATCTTCCAGCAATCCTACTGCTCTTCTCCTAGCTGTACTATTGTGGAACACAAAACAGTGCAGCAAAGCACAGAGCAAGCTGATGCCACTCTAAGCCCAAGGAAACAGCTGAGCTAACATCTGCATGTTGGTTCCTGCAGCTTGGCTGGATCTTTTTGCTCTATCTTGCACTAACAGACTTTTCACCACAGTTGACTTCAACGTAATGCCACACCTAGTAATTACAAGGTGCCATGGTATCTAAGAGAGACAGTATTCTGAACTGTTACTCAAGTTTAACGACAATGGTGTGGTCTTGTACACTGCTGATTGTAGGGAATAAGTCCCATTAATTAAATTATTGTTTTTATAACATTTTCAATAAAGGTTAACTACTGCACAAGTTCAAAATAGAAGTTGCCTTTCAAACTGATCTATCAAACGTTTGAAAGTTATTTTAAGGCCTCCATGTCCTTTAGAACTTTTTTCCAAATTCTTGTCTGGATTATGGCCAAGAAAGTTAAAATTTGAAAAGAAGAGCAATTAAAGGGTTTTTACTGCTCTGGTTTTACTTTTAAAAAAATCGGACCCAAGACGTCAATTTTAAACCCTATGTATCCTGCAATGGCCAAGTTATCAAATCACCTTTCTAATGCAGAAACTATTTTATCTTTAACATCAGCAGTGTTATTGGTGGTGCTGCTGTAGTATGGGGAAGAGGAAGAATATCATCTAACATGGAACTCTGAGGAGGTGGTGTGAAGTTGGAAGGTCACCACCAGTCAGTCTCTCTCTAGCCATTAATGAATGAGAACGGTTACAAGCATCATTAATACATTGTATACGAAGCATTGTAGAGTCCCACAGATAGAGCAGGTTTATAGTAAGCACTCCCCATTTCTTCACCAGAACTTCCACACGTATCTCAGGCTGAAGAGAACAGAACAGGTGCTCAGCACACCTTTGTACTGCCGCCCATGCAGCATCTGCCCTAGCACCTTTCCACCTTGCATGTCTGATCTCTTCAAGGGCAGTTATTGAGGTGGGAAGGGAGAACAGAACAGATGTCTGGGTTTCTAGACTTCATACAGGTTAACGATATGCCTAACATTTCACATTTGAAATGTTAAAGCCAATTTATTAATTATGATGAAAGTCATCAGAAGAGTATTCTCCTGAAATTAAAAGAGTTTGGTTTTTTTCCTTCAAAAATGAAAACCAATACATGCTTGGTAGAGCCACAGATGCTGTGGCTTTCCTGACTGCCTCTTTCTCCCTACATGTGTCCAAGCATACCAATGAAACAGCCAGTTCAGCAATTTCAGTTTAGTCACTATCTAAATCAACAGCGTTGTAATCAGGGTCATCCTCTTCATCGTCCAACTCCAAGTCATCCATTTCCTGGAACAAGGATTCATCCACTTCCACGCTGTTTCCAGCTGTAAGGGGGGGGAAAATAAAACAGTGTTTTATTATGGATTTTTATGGAAACAGGAAAAAGAAAATTAGGGGTTTTTCCTTCATTCTTCAGACAGAAAAGAAAGACGTGTTGCTCTGATGCTTCTCCATCAGCTAACTCAGTGGTTTTCAACCTGTGGTCCGTGGACCCTTCGGGGTCCACAGATTGCGTCTAAGATTTCCAAAGGGGTCCGCACCTCCATTTGAAATTTGTCAGGGGTCCGCAAATGAAAAAAAAAAGGTTGAAAACCTCTGACCTAGCTGAAAAGATCAGATTGTCTAAGAACCTTTGAGTCCTCTGCTTCACCACAGAAAACAATTCCCCAGTACCAATTATTTACAGTTATTCCATGATGCTGGTCCAAATTTAATGAACTTTACTGTTTGGTTCACACATGTTGACTTGAACAGAATGGGGAGAGGTGGAGGAACAACCCCCACCCCTCATTTCTGATTAACTAGAATAACAATGCTTTCCCCACCCCAGTGTTTAACAGAGCTGATTGTGACATAGGTAAAATATCCACAGCCAATTGATGAACTGATGTTACCACTGCTAGTTCCAAGAGATGGCAACTATCCGATTCATTCCAAGATAAGTGCATCAATTCCTGGAAGCTGCAAGGTCTGTATGGCCCCAAACTTGCAAACACAAGTGTAAATAAGAAAATAAATAAAAAAAAAAATCAAAAAATCAATGGGACATGTGTATGAAGATACTCTAGGCTTAAATGCAAAATATGGGCCTATGGGAATATTAGAAACACATCATCTCAAACACTACGTCTAACATGATAATGCCACACGTCGCTTTCAGGACAGCAACTACTGGAATGTTATTTGAGAACATCTGACCTACAGCAGTTTAGAAGAATGCTGGTTAGACCAACATAAGTTCTTTCCATATGCCTCAAACCTCCCTCTTCTCAGCACACCAAGCAACAGTCTGAAATTTTCCAAACGAATTTAGCTCCTGAAGCAGTATCAGTTACTTTACACAGAGGGAAAAATTGCAAAGCTATATGAGATTTACAAGGAAGCAACAAAACCTGACAAATTTTTCTTTAAAGCCAACCACCCTTTTTCATACGTCGATCCTTCTTATTGGTTACACACATGAAAAATAAAATTATATTTTAAGTAACTGCTAAGGCCAGACTTATGGGGAAAAAATCATGAAAAAATATTCAAGAGTTCTACATTTAAATCACTGATTATGTCTAATGGGAAAAAGCAGAGCAGATTAAATTTAAACACCTGTACTTCCACAAAAAAAAACACAAAAAAAAAACAATAACCCCATCGTTTCAAGGTTTCAGTGGTGGTCATAGCAAGTTTTAGGGCTTGTCTACACTACAGGTTATGTTGGTATAACTTATGTCGCTCAGGGTTTGAATACCCCCCCCCCCCCGAGCAATGTTAAGTTACACTGACCTAAGTGTCAGTGTGGACACAGCTACCACCTCTCAGAGGTGGTTTTATTATGCCGACAGGAGAGCTCTCTCCAGTCAGCATAGAAAAGAGATGGGCAAACTATGGCCTGGGGGCCACATCCGGCCCACAGGGCCGTCCTGCCTGACCCTTGAGCTACCGGCCAGGGAGGCTAGCTCCTCGCATCTCCCCTGCAGTCCCCCCCTGCAAACATGCCTCCGCGCGGGGAGTGTGGCTGGCTCCGGCTGGGCGGTGCGGCTTCCAGTTCTGCCGCTCTGAGCGGCATGGTAAGGGGGCGGGGAGGTTGGATAGCGGGCAGGGGGTCCCGGGGGGCAGTCAGGGGACATGGGACAGTTGGATGGGGCAGGGGGGCGGTCAGGGAACATGGAACAGGGGCGGGTTGGATAGGCGTGGGAGTCCTGGGGGGCCTGTCGGGGGACAGGGAGGGGGAGGCAGTTGGATGGCATGGAGGTTCTGGGGAGTGGGGGGGGAGGGAGAAGGAGGCGGTCAGGGGACAAGGAGCAGGGGAGGCTGGATGTGTCGGGTGTTCTGAGGGGGGTAGTCGGGAGTGGGCGGATAGGGGCAGGGGGGACAAGCTGTTTGGGAGAGCACAGCCTTCCCTACCTGGCCCTCCATACAGTTTTGCAACCCAGATGTGGCAAAGAATTTGCCCACCCTTGGCAGAGAACATCTTCAGCAGACCCGGTGCAGCTGCACCACTTTAGCGCTTTAGTGTAGACTAGTCCAGAGAGATGCTGGAAGTGCAGCTTTGTACATTTTCATATTTCCTTCTGAGACAGCTAAAAAATGACTGATAAAACCTGCAGTATGTCACAGCTGGGTCTGCATGGAACAATGGTGACATCTACTGGCCACGTAAAACAATCCCAGGCTTAGATTTCTCACCTGCAAGTATTTCACAGGAGGCATCTGTTTTCAATTAAAAGGTAATAATATAGAAAAGGTTTGAGATTTATCCACCCCCTTCCCATTGTGTATTAATGTCAGAATTACAATATGGCACGCTATTAAAGTGGAGTTATTTAAAACTAAACTGCAGTTTCTTACTCAGTCTCATGTTGTCATGCACACCTCAGTTGTGCCCGTGGTAGAGGACAGCAGAGCAACATCCTCATTTAGGGCCAGATCCTGTTCTTACTGAAGTCAGTTGGCGTTTGATCACTGACAGGAGTAGGACCAGATGCACACTGAATTAGGGCCAGCATATGGTTCAAAAGTTAATGCTTTAAAGTAAAGGTCATTTACATGGGGGGGAAAAAAAAAAACTTGAAGACCCGAACGCCTTTAAATAAACTGTACATAGCGGTCTATTCTTCTGCTATAAAAGTTGCTGATGATATCATCAACATGGCAGGACCTGCATAAAAATATACACTCCCCAATTCAACAGCCTCTTCTACTTGTGTGCATTCAGAGTTATCTGCCAATATCAGTGACAAAGTAAGATTTTACTGTTTTTTTACTTCCAAAAGACCTAAAGAGTCAAGAAAGCCAGGAGACAGCTAGTATCAGAAGGGTAGCCGTGTCAGTCTGAATCCTCAAAAACAATGTGGAGTCTGGTGGCACCTTAAAGACTAACAGATTTGGGCATAAGCTTTCATGGGTAAAAAACATGGAGTCCATGCATCTGAAGAAGTGGGTTTTTTACCCACAAAAGCTTATGCCCAAATAAATCTGTTAGCCTTCAAGGTGCCAAGAGACAGCTGAATTCTATTGCTTCTTGTGCATCAACTGACTGAGTTAATAAGGCCTTGGCTACATGAGAAAATTACATTGGTTTAACTTAAAACCCTTTTAAAGCTGGTTTAGAAGAAGACATATTTTGTTAATGCTCTAAGTGTTTTGGGTTTGTTTGGTTTTTGTTTTGTTTGTTTTTTTTAAAAAACACACTACTTTGCAATATTTCTGCTAAAGAAGTTCTCCCCACATTAAACAAACATTTAAGACAGCTTTTAACCATAATTAAGTCTACGATTTAGTCACGGAGGTCACAGATTCGGTGACATTACGGGAACTCCATGACTTCTACGCTGGCGGAGACAGGACTGTACGCCCCTGCCCTTCAACTGGGGCTGGCTGGAATCAGGACCATGCAGCCCCAGTCTCACAGCTTCCGCTGGGGCCACACACCCCAGCCCCACGGCGTCCTGGGCTTGGCAGGGGCTGCAGCCAAGGCCACACGCCCCAGCCTGGTGGCTGCAGTGGGGGCCATACACCCCCATCCTCCACTGCAGCTGGGGTTTGGTGGTGGCTGCAGTCAGGGCCGCACACTCTATCCTGCAGCTGCGGCCAGCTCCAGAGCGGGGGCTGAGTCCACCCCGTGGCTGCAACCCTGCTGCGGCCACAGGGACTCCATTCCTGCCCCCTTCCTTGCTCTGCCCGCCCAGTTATTTTTAGTAAAAGTCACGGACAGGTCATGGGCTCCGTGAATGTTCGTTTATCGCCCATGACCTGTCCGTGACTTTTACTAAAAATAACGTGACAAAATCTTAGCTTTAACCATAACTTAGCTGCACAATTTGAAGTTTAGTCAGATTTCTAAACAAGTCTTTCAACAGTGCAAATAATGGAAAAAAAAAACCAGAAGTTTACCTTCTTCTAAGAACTGAATGTCAGACGTGTCAAGATTATGATCTGTTTCAAATAGTTGTTTTCCTAAAAGAAATAATAAATATTAAAATTAGTGATAGCTTGGAATGTAGTTACTAAAACCAGGCAACATGAAATTTTGTAAGAGTCTTTTAGAATTTTGATATTTAAATAACATCGAAGTAATATTTGATAATTTATGTACCCTTGGCATTTTCCTCAGACTATACTTGGACCAGTTACTTCTTTGCCTATCTCATCTATTAAATTTTAAGCTTTCTGGGCAGATGTTGTCCATCTTTCTGGGATTCCTTCCCTTGCAGGTGAGACAGGCTCTGCAAAAGAGCTCCATGCAAGAATTAATGCAGCTTCAGGTGAAATCAACGCTGAGAGAAAGGATATACCCCCACTGTCTCCTCTGGTTTTGCCTGGAGGTCACACACAATGCTCCTGAAGTGTCAAGGAGGAAGAATATAGTGCTGTTGATCCATCACATTTATGCGCAACAGGTCAAATCGTCATCTCCATGAACTGACTTGGGCCAATCAGGCCCATGTTTGTTGCATTCAACATGTATTTGACTCCCCTTCCTACCATGTGTCCATGTAAAGTAAAATGGAAGCTTTTGTAAAAATGGACATGAATCTTTCCATGCTCACATTACCTATCTTCTGAGAATTTAAAGAAATTCATTTTATACTGATTCTACAGTCTACTCGAAAACCATTTAACATGCCTAATGTTCATATTAAATTGCTTAAGTATATATTTGTATTGCTACTACACGACTTCTAAAACATGTCAGATTTAGCAAAATCCTTTCAAACATACATTTCCATTAATTTAGCCTAATAAATTTTTAAAAAACATATATCCTCACAAGTTACATGTGTGGCTCGAAAGCTTGTCTCTCTCACCAATTGATGTTGGTTGAGTAAAAGATATTCCCTCACCCACCCTGTCTCTCTAATATCCTGGGACTGACAAGGCTACAACTACACTGCAAAAAACTCTTTGACACTGCAGGGGCCAAATCCAGAGGTCCTTATTCAGTCAAACTCCCATCGAAGTCAATACCTCAGGATCTGAAGCCACATCTCTGATATCAATCTATTTCACACAAGCGTCACCGTTCATATTTGCTTTGTGGGCACAATCCTGGTTCTCTTCATGCACAAGCAAATTGGCTTAAAATGCATCATTTTAATTGTGTTTAACTGTGTGGGAGGTCAACCAGCAGAAAGTCTCTGTATTGTCTTCACCCTTTCTGTGCCATGGAGCCAAGCTCTGCAGCATTGCCCTGATTTTAAACATGGAGGGGATACTTTCAGTGGGCCAGCATGGTCCTAAAAAAAGAAGATATGGATCTACAAGGCTGTAATCCCATTGGAGGAAAGGGGTCAATGATAGGCCATAATCATGACTCCTCTCCAGCCACAACCAAGTTGTGCAGTTGTCTGGGAGTGAAAATTTCTTTCCGCATAGACCATTCCTACTGGTAACTCAGGCTTTGCCCATTTGATAGTCACTTTGCTCCCTCTTATGGCTTATGGCCAGATCAAACTGAATTATATGGACAGTAAGAATACTGCATCACCACCTAACCCTGCTTCTAAACCTCTCAGAGGACAAGACATTGTGTCTTCCTTATACTGGTTACCTGTCTCATGCATTAACAAATATATCACCTATTTTGCAGTAACAAACCAGAAACAATACAAACATCTACATTCAACTAAATAATTTCATGTGGAGCTGGCAATCTACAGTAACTCCCCACTTAAAAGTCGTCCTGGTTAACGATGTTTCGTTGCTGATCAATGCTCGTTTAAAGTTGTGCAATGCTCCCTTCTAATGTCATTTGGCAGCCGCCTACTTTGTTCACTGCTTGCAGGACGAGCAGCCCGTTGGAGCTAGCTGGTGGGGGCTTGGAACCAGGGTGGACCGGCAGCCCCCCATCAGCTCCCCGCTCCCCTAAGTTCCCTGTGCAGCAGCCAGCCATCAGGCTATCAACTGCCGGCAGTTCAGCTGTCCCTCCCCCCACAGCCATGTGCTGCTCCTGCCCCCCCCAGAGCCTCCTGCTTGCTGTGTGTGTGGGGGGGGCGGGGGGGACGGGACACTCGGTGCGTGAGGGAGAGGGAGGCTAATGTCAGGGTGTCCCCCTCCCCCTTGCTCCTGCACCCCGCTTACACCATCTTCCATAGAGCAGGGGGATACACACAACAGGGCTCAGGACGGAGGGAGCTTCTCCACCTCAGTTCGCTGATTAACTTAAAAAGGCAGTGTATTTAGAGTGGGGTCAGCATCCTTAAAGGAGCAATGCGCATCTCTCTCTCACACAGGGTGTGTGTCTCTGTCTACCATGCTATCTCTCCTCCCTCCATTCCTGCTGCCTTGTACATCATGAGGCTACATTAACGAGTTAACCCTTGAGGGCTCAGCCAATTGCTAGTTCATCATTTAGCAGCAAGGCGTTCCCTGGGAAATAGCCCACCCTCTGACTTCACCACCTCGAACAAGCTTCACAATCATCATCGCTATGTTCCAGTGTTAAATTGTTTGTTTAAAACTTATAGTGTGTGTGTGTGTGTGTGTGTGTGTAGAGAGAGAGAGAGAGAGACACACACACACACAATAGTCTTTTGTCTGGTGAAAAAAATTTGCCTGGAACCTAACCCCCCTATTTCCATTAATTCTTCTGGGGAAATTGGATTCACTTTAACATTGTTTCACTTAAAGTCGCATTTGTCAGGAACGTAACTACAACGTTAAACGAGGAGTTACTGTATATGTTCAAATAAATTGGTTAGTCTCTAAGGTGCCACAAGTACTCCTTTTCTTTTTGTATATGTTCCAGCGCAACACAGACTATCTTATCATATCACTCTCCATTTTCCTCCCCTTTCCAATTTTCCTCACTATTCCTTGATGCTTGAATGGGTCTTGTGTGAGAAATGGACTACTCACACTTGCACCAACACAAATGCTCAAGCCTCCTTTCTAAGGCACAACAATAAGAAGCTAATGCTTAGTTTACAAGATAAATCTTCCCCGTTAACAATCAGACCTTGATTCGCATCTGACAATACTATACTAATCTTTTACTACAAAAAATAAAATTCTTGGACATGGTTTCATTATTTGACATACTGGTCTGACAAGTTGGCAAACTTGGAGAAAATTGCAAAGTCATACCACTTAATTTATTTTTGCCTGATTGCTCTTCTTCTTTCATCTTTTTTCTTTTAATTTCTAGGAGCTCTGCATCAAACTTTGCTTTCCAGCTTAGGAAATTCTCAATTGTAACAGGAGTGCCATGGAAACATAGCTGTAAAAGAAAAAAAAAGTTACGATTCCAGTGGCAAAGCAAAGAGTTAAGATTAATATTCTCTTTATGGTTGAAATTATTGTATGCCAAGAGGCAGTAACTACTAGGCACCAATTTTAACTAGGTTTCTTATAGCAAATTAACCCCCACTACAATAAGAAAGTGAAAAGTGTGATATTCTTAGTCGTTTTTATGTGTGGCTTGCTTATTTATTCACAGAAGACTATTGTAGAAAATTCCTGTTTTGATTTGGATCTATAATGTAATACCAATAAGATAAAGCAGCATACACACAGGTGGGTAGTGCACCTTGTTAGTGGTTTAGGTCAAGTCACAATGAAAAAGGGGTGTGTACATGAGCGCTAAGGATGGATTGGACAGATATGCTTTGTATATGAATATTTGTTATTAAAATTCCTAAAACCACAGAACACTTTATATTTAATATCTGTACCACACAGGGGGGTGACATATACAACCAGCAAGACTTCTCCTCTATCATGGAGGAAGAGGAGAATAACTGTTCCTTCCACCATGGCAACTACATAATGACCCTACTGTGCAATCACATTCCTCCATACGATAGGGCTTCCAGAGTGCTTTGTGCTTGTAAAAGCCCATGGCCAAAGCTCGTAATCTGGGATTTCAGAAATGCAGTGCACTCTGAGGTGTAAATATCTGGGAAACACCAAAGAGCATGAGTGTGTGAACAGACCTATAGTGATGGGATCCAAACTGAAAGGATATGGAGTCCTACAGCCCTCTAGCTGCTACCAAAAGAAGGAAGTGAAAACTCAGTGGTGGAGTTTCTTCTAACACATCTTGAGAAGGGGAAGAGCTACTTAGTGGTGGCAAACAAATACCAGGCTACAGTGAAGAGGCTAATGGGTCTGGCTGACTCTAGAGTTTGAGCCATCCAACTTCCTTTCCATCAAGTCAATTGACAGAGGAATGGAGTTGCCCCGCTTCTTGGTGGCATTCATGTTATAAAGGAGAGAGAGGAAGCATCAGAAAACTGTATAGGCTGTTCAAACCTTCAACAGCTGGCCACGGTCCCGCAGGGACTGTACAACATCTGAGAACAGTGTGAGGGTAATGCAATATACTCTAGTCCCTCCTGCTCCTCATCCCTTCCTTCCACTTAAAATGAAAGCCACACGGAGGATGGCATGGCGCTGGTTAACGCCAGCTCTGCGCTAAGTGGGCACTCCCTCATTTCAGGGAAGAATATCTGGCTAGAGGGATGATGTCAGTGTCCACTCTCTGTGCTGTTTGGGGGTCCAAAGGGAGAGAAGTAGTCAGAGGACATCCCCAAACCTTTCAAAGCAATGCCAGAAAAGTTCAACCTGGAAAGTGCAATATTTATGATTTAATAAATCACGGAAGTTGTGCTCAATGTGTGGCTACTTCTGAAGTTTTAAATATTGCTTCTGCCTGTTTTGTGTGTCTGGGACAATACTACTGCTAATCAATCCTACCTCAACCACAGCACCTTTAGGAAGGAAAGCCAGAAAACTGTTAGCTGAAAATGGAATACTTCACCCACCTTTTCTGCCTCCTCTGCTTCTCTTTCCTTCTGTTTCTTTTCCTCCTCTTGTCTTGTTTTTATTTGATCCACTATTTCATTTAATTTCTCTTGTACAGCTGACACTAGAGTGAAGATCATTACCATCCCCAAGTTCTCTTCTGCCTGCAACATAAAAGGCGGCAGCCTCAGACAGGCAATTCACTAGGCAAACTTGTCATGGACAGAGAGGTTACACATTATGCCTGTTTGGAAAGTGCTTATGCTTAGTCTTGTAGGAATGCAAGTTTCACTGCTGAATTGCCTTGCACCAGTTTTGGAAATTAGTCAAATTTATTTCACTGGGTTTAAGCCACTTAAAATGATCCCAGGTGAGAGAGGAGGGAAGAGCAGTAAACATCAACACTGTTCTCTCAGGTCACTATTAGAGATGTAAATAGGGTTTAAAAATAGTAATCGTTAAACCTATTAAAATTCTATTGGTTAAATGAGTAACCGTTTAGAAGTTCACAAAGGTGGTGAACTAAGGGTGCAGGGGGTGCTGCAGCACCCCCACATTTTATGTGGGACCCCACTGCCTGCCACGTGGGGCCAGCAGTGGAGTTTAACCATTAACCAAAACTGATGCTTATCTGTTAACTGGTTAAACTTTTACATCCCTAGTCACTATCTTCACAACAGGTTACCAATACCATCTGATTATAGCCCGCACTCTTGGCAGGAAGGGGATACAGGGTGCTGCTAATTAACCAAAAAAACCCAAACACATTTGTTAAATTAAATAATTTTAAAGCAGGTGGGGATAGAACTCCCTAGTCATGAATTTCTGGAGCCACACACTGCAGTTCACAGCAAGCCTTCCAGCCCAGTAGGCTGACTCGTGCTAAAGGAGCTTGAGCCAGCACACGAAAGATGGCGAAGTGGACAATGTGGCTCTGGAGGAGACTCAGGTTAGTACCTCGAGGCTCAGACCCAGGGGGTTGGGTGGGCTTGAGAGCCCAAGCTGTAACGTCTGTACAGTTATTTTTAGCAGGCTCGCTCCCAGCTGCAGGGTAGACATACCCACAGGTGCTTACTAATTGCCCGTACAAGCCAATATGGTAGCGAAGACCACATTTCTGCACTGTGTCCCCAGTCCTCACTGCTGTTACCAGTCCTACGAGAAACATGGATGCTAGGATTGTTCAGCTAGCTCAGGTAATAGCAAGGTCTTATCTTGATTTTAGTTTCTTTCTTAAGTGCCTTAATACTTCCTATACTCTAGTTGTCCAAAGACCTAGCGGGTTTTCCTGTATTTTGGAAGTCTTAATACCTGGCAACTTATTTACACAAAACTGTTAAATACAATCAAAGGCATCTGTGCCAGGCAAAAGTTGTGGAGCAGGAGAGGTGTTAAACAATTTATTTAGAGCCTTCCCATTTCAGAGTTTTGTTGTTGTGTTTGTGAACCCTAACACAGGGGGCAATTGAACCTTACTTTGTCATGCTCAAAGTTTAAGGCTAGAAGGGACCACTAGATCATCTCCTTTGATATACAGGAGATCACAGGCCACCACCACCACCCAACACCGACACACTAAACCCAACAACCAAAATTAGACCAAAGAATTACAGCCCACAGTAGACTAAACTATTATGTGCCACTGGCAGAGAATAGGAGGGACCAGTGCTCCAGACCTCTGCAATGGCAGGGTATTCATTAAGCGAAATATACGCAGATGATCCTGGCAAGCTACCTGCACCTACAATGCAGAGGAAAGCAAAAAGAAAAAAACCCAGTGTCAATGCCAATCTGAATTGGGGGAAAATTCTTTCCCAATCCCACATTTGGTGATCAGTTAGACCCTGAATACGTGAACAACCAGCCAGCCAGACACCTGAGAGAAAGAATGCTTGATACCAGCTCCAAGCACCAGCCCATCCAATGTCCTATCTCCAGTCATAGCCATCTCTGATGCTTCAGAAAAAAGAAAAGAAAAGAAAAGGAAAGTGGGGTGGGGCGGGGCGGTAGGGGAATCCCTTCCTGATCTCAGCAAGTGACTGGCAGAAGTCCTTAAGCATGAGATTTTAGGAAATATCAGACAAGCACCAGAGAGAGGATCCCCAAGACTGCAGCTGCCAAGCCCTGCCTCCTCACCATCACAAACTCCTCTCTCATACAATCCCACTTGTAAATTTGTCCAGTTCTCTCTTAAAACTAAAGTTGTTTGCCCCACATCTCCTATTGGGAGGCTGTTCCAGAACCTCACTTCTCTGACAGTTAGAAACCTTGTAATTACCAGCCTGCATTTGTTGATGGCCAGTTAATACCCAGTTGTTCTTGTGCTAACATACACTAAAAGACTAAATGGCTCTTCATCCTCCCTGGTGTTTACTCCCCTAATGTATTTAGAGAGAGCAATCAGATCCCATTGCAGACTTCATTTTCTTAGGGTATGTTTATACTAGAAACATAAGTCGACATACATTAGATCAACTTTACCACAGTAATTACCATGGTGGTGCATGTTCACACTTCCCTCCTTGGGTTGGTGGTACATGTTCTCACCAGGAGCGCTTCCACCAATCTAAGACAGGCAGTATGGGGCGCTGAGAACCCGGTCTCTTAGCTCCGCTGGCAGCTCCCTGCTGGGACCCCAGCTACCGCCCAGGCTCCCAGCAGACTGCCCCCTCCTCCCCCTCTGGGAGCAGTGAGGTGAAGCCACCTGGAGCTTCTGGCTCCCAGGGAGCGGGATCCAGCTGCTCCGACTTCTTGCCCTCCCCTGGCCTGGAGCCAGGCAGCCTTGTCAATATCACAGCTCAGGAAACTGACAAGGCTGCCCAGCTCCTGGCCAGGCGCAGACTCCCAGGGCCCCGGCCCAGCTTCTGGCTTCAGCTCCCAGCGGGAAGCAGGCTCCTGCTGTTCAGGCTTCTCGCCCCAGCTCCCCAGGGGACAGCTGGGCTCTAGCTGCTCTGCTTTCTTGTCAATTTCAGGATTCCTGCCGTGAAACTGACTTGACAGCAAGCAGCCAAAGTAAGTAATGCTGCTGTCACCCTAACTATACCGACATAAGCCCTGTGCCTCTCGTGGAGGTAGAGTTATTATGTTGGGGTAGTAGGGCACTTACATCGTCAAGAGCAAGGCTGTAGTGTAGAACTGACATAATTAGGTCAACATAAGCTGCCCTACATCAACCTGTGTAGCGTAGACCAAACCACAGGCTAAACAAGCCAAGCTCTTTTAGTGTGCTCTCATAAGATAGGCCCTCCAATCCTCTGATTATCCTACTAGCTGTTCTTTGTACCTTGTTTAACAGAGCCATTTCTAAAGCTAGATCATGCATCTTTATATGGCTGATCACATGCATCTTTACGTGGCATTTTAAAAAAAATCAGCATGTTTTGTTTTAAATATATACCACACAACTTTTTATAACGGTCAAAAAGCAAAGTCTTAGGGTTTGGAAAATTAAACTCAAGTTAATGTAAGTCACTCCCTACAGCAGAATGCACAAACCAATTCGTAAGACATATGCTCTTCTAAGTTTTGGTTAGCATCAGAATTTACTGTGCCTACTTCACCTCTCAAACCAATGAATTATGAAACAACATCAATAAGAGAGTCAATATAGTCTTAATTTCCTTACCTGTTGTGCTAGAAGGTTTAGTATGTCTGTGACATCATTATCTTCAAGGTTCTCCTGGGAGAATATTTCATAAAGTGGAGTTTCATCTGGATATTTTTCTCCATAGGTAAATTTAAGGGTTGCCTGGACAGCTACGGTACAAAAGGCAATCTTAGTGTGATGGCCTCAAACTTCATAAATATTAACTCTTAATGCTGAGGTTTATATTAGAGTAACAATCTTGTTTTGTTTAACAATCCACAACAACAACTATTTTAAAAATGGAACACCTTACAATAATTATAACAGTTGGTTTGAATATAACATACGAATCTCAACTCATCATTAACCCTCAGATGTGCTATAAAAGTTACCCATGACACAGGAGACAATTCTTGGCACTTACTGGCTGTTTACACCTTCAATTCACATTAGAAACAGTAATTAGTCTATGTAATACTCCTCTGAGGTACTGCAGATCAGCAAGCAATATCCCCTTTTAAAGAGTAAAGTAAGAGAGAGATTAAGTGACTTGACCAGGGCTATAAAGTGGGTCAGCAGCAAAACCAAGATTAGAATCCAGGAGTCCCAGTACTGTGCCAATCCAGTACACCATACCACCAAGAGTATTTCTTGCCACATTTGGTACGTAAATTTGTACCACAATATTTGGTACGTAAATACCTAGTCAGCATGTGATATGAAGACATACTGAACCACTATTGTGACTGACTGAGAGCTTCCTGCAGTTCTGAACTGCTATACACTTCAAATCTACACTTTCCATAGACTGTCATGTTTTTCTGATTAAGGACCCGCTCTTATTGACTTCAACAGAAGCAGGACCAGACCCAGCAAACAACCAACTACATTTTTAGTGGTAGCAGTAAGCTATATCTTAAACATCACAAGGAATTGTTCTCATTGGGCAAGTCACAATCTACTGATCAGAACATATTAACAGTAGATTAAGAGTTCTTAAGTAACAGATCTAGGAAAAAAGAAAAGGAATACTTGTGGCACCTTAGAGACTAACCAATTTATTTGAGCATAAGCTTTCGTGAGCTACAGCTCACTTCATCAGATGCATTCAGTGGAAAGTGTAGAAGATCTTTTTATACACACAAAGCATGAAAAAAAACCTCCCCCCACCCCACTCTCCTGCTGGTAATAGCTTATCTAAAGTGATCACTCTCCTTACAATGTGTATGATAATCAAAGTGGGCCATTTCCAGCACAAATCCAGGGTTTAACAAGAACATCTGAGGAGGGGAGGAAAAAACAAGGGGAAATAGGTTACCTTGCATAATGACTTAGCCACTCCCAGTTGCTATTCAAGCCTAAGGTAATTGTATCCAATTTGCAAATGAATTCCAATTCAACAGTTTCTCGCTGGAGTCTGGATTTGTGAGAGTGTTGGGTCATCCTTCAGGATAGGTTGTAGATCTCTATCAAGATCTCTATCAAGCATTCTTACAACTACAATAGCCACCTGCAGAAGTGAAGAAAGAGACTGATAGAGCCAGAAGAGTTCCCAGAAGTCACCTACTACAGGACAGGCCTAACAAAGAAAATAACAGAACGCCACTAGCCGTCACCTTCAGCCCCCAACTAAAACCCCTCCAACGCATTATTAAGGATCTACAACCTATCCTGAAGGATCTACAACACTCTCACAAATCTTGGGAGACAGACCAGTCCTTGCCTACAGACAGCCCCCCAACCTGAAGCAAATACTCACTAGCAACCACATACCACACAACAGAACCACTAACCCAGGAACCTATCCTTGCAACAAAGCCCCTTGCCAACTGTGCCCACATATCTATTCAGGGGACACCATCACAGGGCCTAATAACATCAGCCACACTATCAGAGGCTCCTTCACCTGCACATCTACCAATGTGATATATGCCATCATGTGCCAGCAATGCCCCTCTGCCATGTACATTGGTCAAACTGGACAGTCTCTACATAAAAGAATAAATGGACACAAATCAGATGTCAAGAATTATAACATTCATAAACCAGTCGGAGAACACTTCAATCTCTCTGGTCACGCGATTACAGACACGAAAGTTGCAATATTACAACAAAAAAACTTCAAATCCAGACTCCAGCGAGAAACTGTTGAATTGGAATTCATTTGCAAATTGGATACAATTACCTTAGGCTTGAATAGCGACTGGGAGTGGCTAAGTCTTTATGCAAGGTAACCTATTTCCCCTTGTTTTTTCCTCCCCTCCTCAGATGTTCTTGTTAAGCCCTGGATTTGTGCTGGAAATGGCCCACTTTGATTATCATACACATTGTAAGGAGAGTGATCACTTTAGATAAGCTATTACCAGCAGGAGAGTGGGGGTGGGGGGAGGTATTTTTTTCATGCTTTGTGTGTATAAAAAGATCTTCTACACTTTCCACTGAATGCATCCGATGAAGTGAGCTGTAGCTCACGAAAGCTTATGCTCAAATAAATTGGTTAGTCTCTAAGGTGCCACAAGTACTCCTTTTCTTTTTGCGAATACAGACTAACATGGCTCTTAAACAGGTCTAGGAAAACATCATTGTAAACTATTCTGAAGCACCAACTACAGCTGTAGACTTACCTGATATTCAGAGCCCATTCACAAGAGGACAACCAGATTTCCCACAACAGGTTATTTCACATTATATCTACTAGAGATAGACACAGATACTTGGAATAATATTTTAAAACAATCAGGCCTTATAATTTCAGAAGTTATAAAGAAAAGTTTTCCCCATGACCGACTTACTTTCATCGTTTTCTCCTGCTTCAGATGTCACTGTGATGGTGAAACTTGTTGGGTTTTCTGATAATACTGTAAAAAAGTAAAGAAATAGTACATAAATGAGAGATTCTTAAAGTCAGACACCTTTTCTTTACTAGCCTATGGGTGCTACCTTGCTTCTGTTATTTCATTAAACCAGAACATCTTTAGGTCTCTAACAAGAAGCCTCCAATCCATTAATTTTTTTCCCCTAGATAAACAATTTTCTCTTCTTGATGATTTAATATCTGTTTTGTTCTTCTGCTATTACAGAGTGTACATATAGTACCAATCTCACATAAAATGTTTGTCCACCAAAAGGATATAGATACAGTGCAAATCTAACCTTGATTAAGTTTTTCTATGTGAGGATATAGGAGAACAAATCATTTGAGTAAAAAAAGGTTAAAATGTCTGTTTATGAATTAATTATATGCATACTGAATACCAGGCGCTTTCTTGGTCTAAATGCAGCTGCTCATTCACTACCTATTCATTACCAGTCTCACTGGTAAGCAGAAGAATAGCAACGGGTGCATTTCTATCTTTATTCTAAGAAGAACATGTAGTAACTCTACAAAAGAGAAATCAGCTCCTATTGATATTTTTAAAAAGGCACCAAAAAAGTGGGAAGTACTTTTCAGAGCAAACAGAAGTGCTTGGATCCTGCCTCAAAGAATCAGCAATCTAACTTTGGAAGTGATATGACAGGTGAAGGCAATTAATTGCTGACATGAACAATTTAGAGATGAAAGTTAAATTCACCCAAGACCTCAAAACAAGGTCCTAACCACCAGTTACTTTATGAGTACTATGTAGGGAGCCCCTAGAAGCGTGGCACCACAAGGTGGTTTCTGACAACTGTGCATAACCTGGGAAGATGGATGGGCACACGAGACCCACAATTTTGCAGATTAGTGGCTCCAGCTCGTTGTATAGCTTTTTCAGAGGGGCTGTAGCACATTACCCCGAGTAATGGCCACAGGAGAACTCTATCTTCTCATTGCAGATCCAGACTGTGGGCTGTCAGAGAGTGAATTTCACCTGATTATTTAGGAGTATAAACAAGTGAAAGATTTTCACCAAAAAGTCTGAAAATCTGACCTAAGCCCTGTTGTTGTTACAGACTACAATACACTTTTTTCTGGGCTTGAGGAAATCCTAGCAGTGAGCTGGCTCAGCTCAAATGGCATTTTACAGCTTTAATCTAGGACTTCATTATGTTCTATGATTCTGCATCTTGAGTCACTGATAATAAATTCATACACCTTTGGCTTAACAAGCTAAAATAACTTCAACACAGATTTTAAAAGGCTGAAATAAGCAGCAAGACAATTAAATAAGAATCTGAAAAAGAGCACCCCAGTGCTTGCAAATTTAATTGTCAAATAAGAGTTTGGATTTACCGCCACTTCCTTTACCTAACAGGTCATTACAAAGCAATAAGCAAAAATGAATTGTTTTGGAAAAGCTCTGTGTTTTGTGCTTTACAGGGATGACAGACGAGATGATCACAGTGCTCCATTCTGATGTTGGAAACTATGAAAAAAAGCCAGGCATTGGAAATGCAACAAGTATGGAGGCAAACTGAGCATCTGTTACCTACTCAGCAATGCCACACGCCTGGCGAGGATCAGAAACGAGAAAAGAAAGCCGAGCAGGGCTCCAAGTTGGCTCGTTTTTGTCTTTAATTTCCACCCAGGTGTCCGCAAGAGCCCTGCTTGTAAAGGCTCACCCAAAGGCGCTCACCCTAGATCCTCGCCCACGTCCTGCTGGAGCAGGGTGAGCTAGGAGTGCTGGGGCCTAGCAGCAGCGAGGGGTGTCAGAGAAACCAGACTGACACACGCCACAAAAAGCAACTCAAGGTCAGGAACCTACGGAGGGGCTGGGAGGGAGCAGCCTGGGGCTAGCGAGAACTAACCCAGCCGCTCTGCTCAGCGGGGCAGAGAAGCCAGCCCGGCTCTGCTGCCCCCGGCCCCGGGGGAAGCCTAGGGTAACGCCACAGGACTCCCGCAACCGGCGTATTTAAAGAGGAGCGGGGCCCCCGCACCCGCTGGACCCTGTTTAGACCGGCCCAGGTGGGGGGCCCCGCTGCTAGGTGCGTGGCGCTGCGACCCAAAGCGCGGCTCCGCCACCCCCAGCTCCCTGCCCGGGCACGCCGCAGCAGCAGCCGGGAGGCGCTCGGGGAGCTGCGCGCCATGCAAGGACTGGGGGGGGGCGGGTCCACCCTCGCCCCGCTGCAGGGAAGCTCGCGCCAGCTCCCCGAGCCAGGCTCCCCCCCCCGCGGCTGACCCGTGAACGAGTCCGGGTAGATGGACTCCAGCGCCTCCCGCTCGTTGCGCTGCTCCTCGCTGCAATCGGCCATGGTCCCGCGCCGCCGGCCATGGAACGCTCCGCCACGGCCCAGCCACCCGGGCGGCCCGCGCAGGCGCACCCCGGCAAGGGGGAGGAGCTGAAGCCGTGACACATCCGCAGCTCTGTTCTCGACCTGGGCCGCCAGCCGCCCCCCCCCCCCACACTCTTTGCGGTTTGTCTACATGTGGAGTGACTTCGGATTAGCTGTGACAGGCGCCCCGTGTGGACGCTCGTTCTGGACTAAGAGCGTCTCGCTCCGGTTCTTCTTAATCCACTTTTAAATGGGAAATTACTCGGGAAGAGCTATTGCTGATTCACTCCATGCGTTCACATAGTCAAGCATAAGAGTGTTTTAGTTTGAAGGACCTTAAACCAGTGTAAACCAGCGAGGCTCGTCGTCCGTTTTGGAGTCGGGTGCCAGCCCCCTGTTGAGGTGCTTTGTCCCTCCCCGACATGGACAAAACCTGACATGCTTTGTTCAATGCCAGACAAAACTTGGACAAAACCTGACCTGCTTTTGTCTGGCATTGGACAAAGCATGCTGCCCTTTCCAGTGTCAATGCAAAATCACTATGCAGGCAAAACCACATCTGTGGGGGCAGGAGGTGATGTGCTCTTAAAGAGGGCCACACACCCGCTGTGTGTACAAGTCCAGACTAGCAGGGGCGGCCCCGTGCCTTTTCTGGAAGTACCAGCTCATCCCTTATGCAAGGAATGTCAGAGTGGCCACCCTACCATAAACTAACTCAGAATAAGGTATGTTTGTTCTGGAATAAAATTATCTGGCAAGGAGTTAATCCCAGAGTAGTAACCAGCCGAAAATTCACACCCTACATTAATCCGCATTAATGGTCAAGTGTAGACTAATTGTGGTTGTTTCTCTGTGATTGACAGCCCGCCCCACCCCGCCTTTCCCGTTCTACTTTTCCCTGCCCCGCCCTTGGGACGCAACCAGCGTTGCTTTTGGTGGGCATCGCTCGTCAGCGGATGTGTTAGGACTGAGGCTTGGCTGTCATGTGTCGGGGTGGGGGCCGCTGAAGCGCGACAGGGGCTGCAGGCTACGCCGTGGGTCACATGATGCAGGAGTTGGGCTGTGTCCTTGGCGTCCTCATTTCCGCCTCTGCCGTCACGGTTGCCCGGTCGAGGGGGGGGCGAGCTTTGGCCTCCAGCCCCAGCGCTAGCCGAGATCTGCAGCAGGGGAAGGATCAGGGTTTGGGGTGGTCGGTGCTGCAAAATTCAGATATTCTGGCTCATAAGCTATGCGATTGCAGAGACCAACCTGGGGGTTTGGCCCGGCCTGCGATGAGTACTGCACTGCAGTCTCACTGGCCTGCTCATAGGGCGAGCAGTTACTCTGTCAGCGCAGGGACGGTGCAATGAGAGGAGCTGGCAGAGGCAAGGAATCTTTCTTGCAAAATTCCAAGATGGATTGCTGAATTTTCAATAAAAATCTTCATTTCCCCCATATTCTAATGAAGTCTCACGGAGTCCGTTTTTTGCAACGCTGTATAAAATTGTGCATGGACAGAAAATCTTTCAGGCTAAATCATAAAAAGCAGCAGCACTGACCCACTTACTTAGGTCACCTTTATACACTTTGCCTCAGGTTAGCCACCTGTTCAATTGACATAAATACTTGCTTCTCTCATGGGGGAAGTGAGGTTTAGAAGGAACCCAATTTAAGTAAAAGCAGTCACAGGTAGTAGAACTTTCAAACTCATTCTGCCAATGGTTTTGGTTTTGCAATCACATATTCCAGGTTTGAATAAATAACCTCTCCTCTATTACTGCATTACCCCCCCACCCTAAAACTCCTCATCCCTGGCCCCACCCCAGAGCCCACACCCCCAGCCAGAAACCCTCACGCCCTTCTGCATCCCAACTCCCTGCCCCAGCCTGGAGCCCTTCCTGCACCTTGAACCTATCATTTCTGCTCCCCCACCCCCCTCCAGAGCATGCAACCCCAGCCGGAGCCCTCATCCCCTCCTGCACCCCAACCCTCTTCCCCAGCCCAGTGAAAGTGAGTGAGGGTGGGGGAGAGTGAACGGTGGAGGGAGGAGGGATGAAGTGAGTGGGGTGGGGCCCCGGAGAATGTGTGGGGCAGGGCAAGGGTGTTTGTTTTTGTGCAATTAGCAAGTTGGCAACGCTATTTGGCGGCAATAATTTTGCTGCAAACTGGGTCAAATTTACAAAAACAAAACCAAAAAACCTCACATCCTTGATCCTTCTCTTTACAGGCAATGTGATGAAGAAGAGAGCTGCTCTTAAAAAAAGCTTTTAAATGAAAATACTGTCAGTTTTGAGATGTGTGTCATCACTAGAGTGTCAGGCAGTGCAAGAAGAATGGCAGCCCTAGTTATTGAAACAATTTCAAGCTAATCCAGAACCTTATCATGTGTTATAAAATTAATGAAATAGTTATTGGACTCCATTTTCCATCTCTGTTGAAATCCATTAGTACCTCTACCTGTTCATGCTCTCCAATTATAACTGGTTTCTATGAGGAGGACTATGAAGTGGTAAGAATTTTCACTTGGATTGTTGTTAGGGGGAAGAGTCCTGTTATTAGACATTTAAGGAAATGGGTCTTTTTCATTTAGTGGCAGCTGAAAGAACACAGTTTTCATTCAGCTATGGAACAAGATTATTTGTCTCACTAAAACAAAGATTGTTCCTAGAGGGAGAGGAATGAAGAAGGACAAATGCTAGACAATTTGACACAGACCCATAAAGCTATTTATACCTTTGTAGATCTGGACCCATTGCATACTACATTATTCCAAGGAGTTCTGCTAGCACAATAATGAGCATGACTGAACTGAATAGTAGAGACACACCGAGCTGCACTCAAATGCTCTTTTCACATCCTTTTGAGGCAGGGAGTGTGCATTTTACATCTGTCCAAACTCAGGTAGTGCTCAAAAGGAGTCTATCCTCCCCACAAAAGAGTGGATTATGATCTAATAGAGAACCTAGTTTCTAACAGAGATCTAATTCCACCAAACTGAGTCCTCTAGGTTGGGGTTCACTTATAGAATAACCAAGTTGAATAAGACAAGCTTTTTCTAAATAAGGAATGATACTAGATAGTATGTTCTGGTGGTGTCCAAACCAATGTTCTGGTTGGGCAGGGTTTGTCTGTTTGTTGGGGAGGAGACGGATTTTATAGCATGGCAGCAGCTTCCATTGACTGTACAACTACAACTCTTCAGTGGGGTAGGAGAAGTGCCTTGTGTCTTTGAACCACCTTGTAGCACCCCGAAAGCAGAGCTAATTAAAGAATTAACTGTTCTCTTGCTACTGTTCTTTGGCTGTCCCTTTCTCCTTGCTGGGTTGATGTATAAGTAGGGGCATAGCGAGCAGATCGAGGGACGTGATCGTTCCCCTCTATTCGACATTGGTGAGGCCTCATCTGGAGTACTGTGTCCAGTTTTGGGCCCCACACTACAAGAAGGATGTGGAAAAATTGGAAAAAGTCCAGCGGAGGGCAACAAAAATGATTAGGGGACTGGAACACATGACTCATGAGGAGAGGCTGAGGGAACTGGGGATGTTTAGTCTATGGAAGAGAAGAGTGAGGGGGGATTTGATAGCTGCTTTCAACTACCTGAAAGGGGGTTCCAAAGAGGATGGATCTAGACTGTTCTCAGTGGTAGCAGATGATAGAACAAGGAGTAATGCTTTTTTTGCCTCTGTTTTCACTAACAAGGTCAGCTCCCAGACTGCTGCGCTGGGCATCGCAAAATGGGGAAGAGATGGCCAGCCCTCTGTGGAGATAGAGGTGGTTAGGGACTATTTAGAAAAGCTGGACGTGCACAAGTCCATGGGGCCGGACGAGTTGCATCCGAGAGTGCTGAAGGAATTGGCGGCTGTGATTGCAGAGCCATTGGCCATTATCTTTGAAAACTCGTGGCGAATGGGGGAAGTCCCGGATGACTGGAAAAAGGCTAATGTAGTGCCAATCTTTAAAAAAGGGAAGAAGGAGGATCCTGGGAACTACAGGCCAGTCAGCCTCACCTCAGTCCCTGGAAAAATCATGGAGCAGGTCCTCAAAGAATCAATCCTGAAGCACTTGCATGAGAGGAAAGTGATCAGGAACAGCCAGCATGGATTCACCAAGGGAAGGTCATGCCTGACTAATCTAATCGCCTTTTATGATGAGATTACTGGTTCTGTGGATGAAGGGAAAGCAGTGGATGTATTGTTTCTTGACTTTAGCAAAGCTTTTGACACGGTCTCCCACAGTATTCTTGTCAGCAAGTTAAGGAAGTATGGGCTGGATGAATGCACTATAAGGTGGGTAGAAAGCTGGCTAGATTGTCGGGACTCAACGGGTAGTTATCAATGGCTCCATGTCTAGTTGGCAGCCGGTATCAAGTGGAGTGCCCCAAGGGTCGGTCCTGGGGCCGGTTTTGTTCAATATCTTCATAAATGATCTGGAGGATGGTGTGGATTGCACTCTCAGCAAATTTGCGGATGATACTAAACTGGGAGGAGTGGTAGATACGCTGGAGGGGGAGGGATAGGATACAGAAGGACCTAGACAAATTGGAGGATTGGGCCAAAAGAAATCTGATGAGGTTCAATAAGGATAAGTGCAGGGTCCTGCACTTAGGACGGAAGAACCCAATGCACCGCTACAGACTAGGGGCCGAATGGCTAGGCAGCAGTTCTGCGGAAAAGGACCTAGGGGTGACAGTGGACGAGAAGCTGGATATGAGTCAGCAGTGTGCCCTTGTTGCCAAGAAGGCCAGTGGCATTTTGGGATGTATAAGTAGGGGCATAGCGAGCAGATCGAGGGACGTGATTGTTCCCCTCTATTCGACATTGGTGAGGCCTCATCTGGAGTACTGTGTCCAGTTTTGGGCCCCACACTTCAAGAAGGATGTGGATAAATTGGAGAGAGTCCAGCGAAGGGCAACAAAAATGATTAGGGGTCTGGAACACATGAGTTATGAGGAGAGGCTGAGGGAGCTGGGATTGTTTAGCCTGCAGAAGAGAAGAATGAGGGGGGATTTGATAGCTGCTTTCAACTACCTGAAAGGGGGTTCCAAAGAGGATGGCTCTAGACTGTTCTCAATGGTAGCAGATGACAG